AAAAAAAAAAAAAAAAAAAAAAAGAGCAAAACAAAAACAACCCAAAAGATCTAAATATGATCTTTCTTCAAGACAACCACTGAAGCAAGTAATTGACTAACATGGAAAAGGCTGTGAGAGAGAATTTTGAAACAATCAGGCATCTCCAGTAATCATCCTATCACATAAAACATACAGAATAGATGATATGCAGTGGAAAATTAGGACCCAGTCTGCAGGTGTGAATATTAACAGACCAGGTCGTAAATCAGTGTGCATTATTGCATACAACCAATTTAGTAAATGCACATGCTGACTTTAAAAGATTTTGGTGCTTTTGTGGACATAAACTTTAACCCTTGTATGCGTGTTTTCAAGATCAGAAGTAAAAGTAATAAGGAAACCATAATCCATACATAAAGTCTTAAATTTATGCTCTACTTTTTTTTATCTAGATAAAAAAATTGCGATAATTTAGAAATACTGATTTCCCATTTAACTAACAGTAGATGCAGACTAACATAGCTAGATCTGCTGCGGCTTTATGGGAGATACTAAATTTATTATTTATCATGATTTCAAAAAATAATTAAGTGTCCATTCTTGTTTTAATACTTTAATACTAGTAGTTGAAAACTATAGAATTTGCTGGCAGAAAGCATTATAAACTTAGAGGGGTTTTTTAATTCAACTAGTAGTTAATCATCAATTATTAATTACTTGTGTTCCCTATGATTGACATAAATCTTCTTTTTTATTATAAACTGTAATTCTTGATTGCAGAGTAAGGAAAAAAATGCATAAAGGAGCATGCTTAAAAAAATGGAATTTTGCTGGGTTTTAAGATAAAATTTAGAAAACAGATGAAATGAAAACTTTATAAAAAGATATAAATATGGGACAAATCACCTTAATGATTTAAACAGTTCTAATGAGCCACATAATACTTCATTAGAGGAAAATACCAGGAGATTGGCAGGGAAATATGTTTTTTATTACTAAAACATTTCTAACTACTGAAAAAATAAAACCAGCTAGCAATTTAATAGAGCAAAAGCCTTTGAGTGGATAAATCACAAATCTACTCTTTAGATTATGCAAGATTGAAGGAACTCAACATTTTGATTTTTCCTGGCTTGTGTAAATTAGCATCAAGTTTAAACTTTAAGCTTTTTATATTTTTAATTACTCAAACTAATTCACATTAACTAAATAAATTAAATTCACATTAATTTGAGAAGAAACCACCACCTAAGAGTACAGAAAAATAGTTAATTTACTTAGAACATTCTTATGTTGCTCTCAACTTTGAGATTTCACTTGGGATCTAATAAAACTGGTTGTAGTCTAAATGAGAATTTTTTTCTGTTAGCTATAAATGCAGAACCCAGTCCATGCTTTGGTGCTTTAATGTGGTGTCAGTTGTCCTTTATCAATGAGGTGGGATTTTTTTCAAGTTATTACCTTACTAGTCTTCATCCCTTGACCTTTTCAGTCCTAGTTACACTGTACACTTCAATAAATGATAACCCTAGAGCATACGTTGATATTTTATTGCATATTAAAATTGGAAAAAAAATTGTTTTGTAATTACTAGCTAGAGAACTAAAGCCAATAAAAGATGATGTACATAGAATTGTAAAATCAATGAGGTTCTATGGCTCATGAGATGTCTGCCTGAAGTATTGTTTTTCTTAAAATGCTGTATGTTTTTCTTTAACTATGGTCCAGCAACAGTTTTTATTTTACTATATTATACTAATTATAATGCATACTATTTTCCATTATATTGGACGTGAATATTGGGATGATCTTTTAGGGAAAATTGCTAGATGGTCAAAATTCTCTACTGGATAATATATAAAGCACAGACAGCTCTTTGTCTTTCAACTGTTTTGTTATATGAGTCCAAATAAATATTCCTTTGAAAGCACAGAGATTGTGTTTATGTTATTAGAAATATGGTGACGCTCACAAAGGCCTTGAAAAAGTAAGACAAACTACCATTTTTCTCTGGTTGGCAGAGTATCTAAAAAAAAATTATCCACTTGTCAATGATATTTTTATTCTAAAGAATTTTACTGATATTTAATGTCTCTTCTTCATCATTCTGTTGAAGGAAAGTAAGATTGCACTAAAGGCAGGTCAGTGAATTGTCTGCAATAGGAAGCCTGAATATTTGAATATTAGCCAGGGCTGGGAATTTAGGCTTTAGGAAGGTAGAATGTTAAGAATAAGAGGAGTGGGCTTAGGAGCAAAAAAAAAAAGTACTTTTTTAACATTTTAATTAGAAAAAAATAACGAAAGACTTCAATGCAGACAGACTCTAAACTTGAATATAGAGAGGGAGAACTCTGATAGGAATACAGTGATGAATCATCCAAATGAAAATAGAGACTATGAGAACATATTTATGCATATGAATACTACTTTTAGTATGGTCATTTTTTCATTTCTGTAATGAAATTGCATTATTTGTAGGTCTGTGAGAGAAAATCTTCAAAGGATGTCCTGAAAGAAGTTGCTACAAATGCACTGCTGTCTCTGTTAGCTGTCAGTAAAAATGCCCAGAAATGTGCATTGGAAGGTGAGCGTTTCAAAATGTATGTTAAATGATTTATGAATCAAATACTTTCAGGTTTTTTTATGTATTTTTTAAATCATAATGTGTTTTCTCAAAACAAAATACTTAGTTTTCAGTAGCATTTTTTGCAGATCTTTACAGAGAAAATTTATTAATAATTACATTTCTCAGCTACAGATAAAATACTGTGTTGTAGCCAGTCTAAAAATTTGTGTTGAAATCACAGCTCTGTGTTAGAGTGAGAAGAGATCTCTAAGCTTTTACTGCTAGTGACATATTCATTCGAAATGAGATTTTTGCACTGGCAGTATCTTCCATTTCTTGTTTCATGCTATGCCAGTACAGATTTGTAAGTGAAAGTATACCCCGTGTTCTCAGTTCTCTCTGTACCTAGACAAGAACAGACTTCTTTTTCTCAGCTTTGTTTGTCCCTGCTTCTTTGTTTCTTTCTTCCCATTTTACAGTTTAAGTAGGACCTTCTCCCCTTGAAATGCAACATCCTCCATGCTTAAGGTTTTTACTTAACAGCAGTAAAACAAATGTAGAAAACTTCTAATCAAAGGCTTTTTGTGCCCACTAGAACACAGTGGAGACTGGTTAATTTGCATTTCTCATGTATCATGCATTTAAGAACTGCTGATCAGCCCAAATGCACTTTGTCTTGGGTGCTTTCTCATTTCTTGAATCTCTCCATTGATTTGTTCAGTCCTTTAAATCTACATTACACTGAACTAGATAGCCTTAGATCTATCTGATTAATGTCTAATCTCAATAGTGGCAGAAAACTCCAAACTTCAATTACGCATGTTCTTCTGTTGTTGACCCACTAAATCATCTAAGAGCTGACGTCCTGTGAAGACTCTACCAACGCATGAAGTGTAGTCAAGTTCTGTGCTAGAGCTGCCTTCAAGTCATCGTTGCTGTAATGCAACACAGATTTTAGAGTTCTGGGGTTTAAAACAATGTTCTGAAGATTTCTGTAGCTCTAACATCACCTGTTCAGCTCTTAAGGACTACTTTTTAAGATACCTGTAAAGGAACAACCCTTTACAGCAGTACAGGCTGACTGGGGAGCTGAAAAGGACCTTGAGGTCTTCCTAGGCAGCAAGCGGAATGTGAGAAAACTAACAGCATCCTGGGCTGTATGAACAGGAACACAGCCAGTAGACTGAGAGGAAAGGATTACCTTTCTTCTATTTAGCACTTGTTAGACCAGATCTAGAATAATGCATGCAGTTTTGGCTCAGTACAAGAAAGACATCAACAAACTGGAGCAAATTCAGCAGAGGGACAACAAGGTGGTTGTGTCCACCTGTCCTTGGAGGAGAGGTTGAGGGAACTGGCCATGTTCACCCTGGAGAAAAGAAGGTTTTGGAGAGACCTAATAGCATCCTTTTCCTACCTATGAGATTTTGAAGATGACAGAACAAGGTTTTTCACAGCAGTACATGGTGTAGGAGGATGAGAGAGAATGGGCATAAATTGAAATGTGAGTGTCAGACTGTCCATAAAGAAACATTTCCCCTTTGAAGCCAGTCAAGCAGTAGCTAGACATACTGTACAGTAGCTATTTTCAAGACCCATAAGACTAGAGGTAAATTTTGCCTGATCTTATAGCTAATTCTGCTTTGAGCAGGAGGCTGGACTATATGAACTCTGGAGGCCATCTCTTCCAACTTGAATTATCCCATGAGCCTATGATCATAGAATAGTTTGGGTTGGAGGGGTCCTTTAAAGGTCATCTAGTCCAACACACCCGCAGTAAGCAGGGACATCTTCAACTCAGAATCACAGAATCATCTAGGTTGGAAAAGACCTTGAAGATCATCCAGTCCAACCATTAACCTAACACCAACAGTTCCCAAATACACCAGATCCCTAAGCGCTAAGTCGACACAACTCTTAAACGCCTCCAGGGATGGGGACTCCACCACCTCCCTGGGCAGCCCATCCAACACCTAACAACCCGTTCTGGAAAGAAATGCTTCCTAATATCCAGTCTAAACCCTCCCTGGCTCAACTTGAGGCCATTCCCTCTTGCCCTGTCGCTTACTACTTGCTTAAAGAGACTCATCCCCAGCTCTCTGCAACCTCCTCTCAGGTAGCTGTAGAGGGCGAAGAGGTCTCCCCTCAGCCTCCTCTTCACCAGACTAAACACCCCCAGTTCCCTCAGCCGCTCCCCGTACGACCTGTGCTCCAGACCCTGCACCAGCTCCGTTGCCCTTCTCTGGACATGCTCGAGTCATTCAATGTCCTTTTTGTAGTGAGGGGCCCAAAACTGAACACAGGAATCGAGGGGCGGCCTCACCAGTGCCCAGTACAGGGGTCAGATCCCTTCCCTGTCACTGCTGGCCACACTATTGCTGACACAAGCCAGGATGCCATTGGCCTTCTTGGCCCCCTGGGCACACTGCTGGCTCCTGTTCAGCCGGCTGTCAATCCACACCCCCAGGTCCCTCTGACTGGCAGCTCTCCAGCCACTCCTCCCCAAGCCTGTAGCGCTGCTGGGGGTTGTTGTGGCCCAGGGGCAGCCCCCGACATTTGGCCTGATTGAAACTCCTCCAGTTGGCCTCAGCCTGTGGCTCCAGCCTGTCCAGGTCTCTCTGCAGAGCCTCCCTACCCTCGAGCAGATCAACACTCCCACCCAACTGGGTGTCAGCTGCAAACTTACTGAGGGTGTACTCGATCCCCTCATCTAGATCATCAATAATGATGTTAAACAGGAGTGGCCCTAAAACTGAGCCATGGGGGACACCAGTTGTGACCAGCCGCCAACTGGTTTTAACTCCATTCACCAGAACTCTTTGGGCCTGGCCATCCAGACAGTTTTTTTTAACCAGTGAAGCTCAGAGCCCTGTTCAACCTGACCTTGAAAGATTCCAGGGATGGAATATCTACTATGTCTCTGGGCAACATGTTCTAGTGTTTTATCACCCTCATTGTAAAAAATTATTCCTTATATCTAGTCTAAATCTATTCTTTTTTAGTTTAAAAGCATTTCCCCTTTTCCTTTTGCAACAGGCCCCGATAAAAAGTTTGTCCCCCTCTTTCTTATAACCCCTCTAAGTATTCAAAGGCTGCAATTAAAGTCTCTCTGGTGCCTTCTCTTCTCCAGACTGAACAACCCCAACTCTCTCAGCCTTTCTTCATAGGATAGCTCTTCCGTCCTCCTGATCATCTTTGTGGCCCTCTGGACCTGCTTCAACAGGGTCATGTTTTTCCTATGCTAAGAGTTCTAGAGCTGGATGCAGTACTGCAGGTGGGTTCTCAGCTGAGCAGAGTAGAGGGGGAGAATCACCTCCCTTGACCTATTGGCCACACTTCTTTTGATGGAGGCCAGGATACAGTTGGCCTTCTGGGCTGTGAGTGCACACTTCTGGCTCATGTCCAGCTTTTCATCCACTGGTATCCCCAAATCCTTCTTGGCAGGGCTACTCTGAATACCTTCATCCCCCAGCCTGTATTGATACCAGGGGTTCCCTGACCCATGTGCAGGACCTTGCACTTGGCGTTGTTGAACCTCATGAGGTTTGCACTGGCCCACTCTTCAAGTTTGTCCAGATTCCTCTGGATGGCATTCTATCCCTCCAGCGTGTCAGCCACACCACACAGCTTGGCATTATCAGCAGACTTGCTGAGGGTGCACTGAGTCCCACTGTCTATGTCACTGATGAAGATATTAAACAGTACTGGTCCCAGGATGGACCCATGAGGGACACCACTTGTCACCAGTCTCCATCTGGATATTGTGCTACTGACCATAACCTCTGGATGCCACTATTCAACCAATTCCTCATCCACTGAACAGTCCACCCATCAAATCCATATCTCTCCAATTTAATGAGAAGGATGTTGTGGGGGACTGTGTCAAAGGCCTTGCAGAAGTTCAGATAGACAACATCTCTGCCCTTGTCCATTGATGCAATCACTCCATGATTTTGTAATAAATTTAAGACTCTAGATTGCAAAAGAGCCTAACTCAACATTTTGCTTTCCTTTGTCTCACTTCAGATGCAGCACATCTGCTACTGTTAGGGAAGTGTTGGGAAAAATAAATGCATGCCCTGACTTCTTGAAGCTTCGGTCTTCTAGGCAACATCGATGAAGATACCCTTAAGAGTTATGAGCTCTCTCCTAAATCATCTTCCTCTCCCCATTTTCAGTCCTTTATTTGCGCGTTCGTCTCGCAGGATTCTGTTGCAAGAGGACTCAAATGTATTCTTGATTCTCAAGATCATTCAACTAGATGCACTCCATCTCAGAGACTGTTTTCTAGTTCCTGATATCAATAAGATTATAATATATTAGTCAGAGAATTTGGACCTTAAATCTCAGTTCAGGAGTGTAACAGTAATCAAGACCACTGAAAGACAGATATTTTATGTTTCATAAAATATTTTTGATAGTGAGTGAACTTTTGAATGTTACTATTTTTTGTCTTCCAGTTGACCTGATAGACAGCCATATAGAAAACATGAAACATATTCATGCACAGCTGAATTTGGATTCCCTAAAGCCTGCGAAAGCACAAAAAAAAAAGGTAACTATAAAACCCAAAAGACTGATATGACAAGGCACTTCCCAACTTTTTTTTCTCAGGACTGATACTCTTGGTATCTGTCAGGGGTGAGACAGAGTAAATGACAATGAACTTTTACCAGCTTGATTATCTTACACACCCAGAGTTATGTTCACTAGGTCTCAACTTCCTTTTCTGACATGGAGATGACTGCTGGTTCAGGGAAGTCAGGCCAAAAATCACATTGGTTCATGCTTTGCAGCTGCTCAGTTACCAGTCTTGGGTGTTACTGGCCAAAGCTCCTGGCCGTACACTGGTGTTTGTCTCCGTGCATCTTTCTTGTCTCCAGGATCTTCTCCCATTTGCAGGATCGTCACATTCTTCTTTTTGAGCCCATTTCTTTCAGAGATCATTTCATTTCAGGAATCCTTTTCACCACCAGCTTTTTTCTCCAGAACTCTAAGCTTCTGTTTATCTAATCTAAACAATCTATGTGTGAAGCACAATACATGATTAGCCTCTGAATTAGTGGCTCTGTCTCATGTCTTTTCACTAATTGGAGGATTCAGGACTTCTGTGTGTTGAGTTTCTGTGTATGGCAGGACTTTTTGGTAGTGGGGGAGGGTGCTACATTGGCGCCCTGTGAAAAGCTTCTTGAAGCTCCTCTGGCTCCAAGTCAGACCTGCCTCTGGCCAAGGCTGAGCCAGTTAGTGACAGTGGCTGTGCCTCCATGGTAACATATTTATGAAGGGGAACCTGGGAGCAGGAGTGCAAGTTGTGAGGAGGATATCTATGCAAACACTGAGGTCAGTGGAAGAAAGGAGGAGGAAGCGGGGGAGATGCTTCAGTGCATAGACTCCCCTGTACCCCATGATGAGACGGCATGGCCTCGCTCCTGCTGCCTATGAGAGGTCCATGGTTGTGAGAGACGAGAAACCAGGCCTGTGAGAAACTAAGAAAAACAGCCTAGGAAAGAAACACTCGCAGGACAAAACTATGAGTCACAGGGTGCATTCTGTGGAGGCTGAAGCCGATAACGCTGCCCGATGCAGCTGGGGGGAGAGAGCCCTGTGGAGACAGGACGGCTCTCCTCTGGGGCACTTGGGCAAATTTCAAGGGCCATGCGTCTGGTGAATGAACTTTGCTTCATTATCCACAAAATGCATATTAAAGTTAACACCCCTCAATATGCTAACGAAGGCTGACATGATCATGCTAATTACATCATCCCATGAAACACCTATGTGGGTTAACCTACGGGACGGACCCAAGGAAAGTTTGTATAAATCAAGGGGGGGAAGAAAGGGGGGCTCTCTGCCCCCCAGCCACCTGGAGAGAGCAGTGAAGCGAAGAGGACGGATGCCAGTGAAAAAGACGGTTGCCTCCTGGAACCCTCGCTGGCAGGATCAATGCAGGAACCCAGACCGGTGATCTGTATTTCCCCATTCCCTGTATCTCCCTCTTTTCCCTTTCCCATTAAAAAATGCAAGGCATATTGTATTGTTCGCCACAACTTGCTATATACTTAGCCAATTATCGTGTGTTCAATTAGTACATTGTGGGTAGTTAATAAATGCTGGAACTTGGAGACTTGTTGTCTGCTCCAATTGGGGATTTGTGAATCTGAGTCACTTGTCCCCCTCCATCTGAGTTGGATGTGACAGTGATGGAGCAGATATCGGCCTGCAGCCTGTGGAAGACCCCATACTGGACCAGGTGGCTGCACCCAGAGAAGGCTGCGACTCTGTGGGAAGAAGCCCCTGCTGTTGTACTTCAGTGCTGGGAGGACTGCAACATGTGTGACGGATCCATGCTGGAGCAGCTCAGGAACAGCTATGGCTCATGGGAAGTACTCAGTGCTGGAGAAAGTTCTTGGAGGACGGTCTTCTGGGAGAGCTCATTTGTGCTTAGTGCTGATCAGTTGTCCTCTGAACCCAAACAATGACACCCACTTTTAGTCCAGGTTATCAGAATTAGTAACTAGCCCATTCTGGTTGAAGCCAGCAACTAGCAGTCTTCCAGTTATTCTAGACACATCACCCAGCTCTTCCTTACCACATCTGGACATAGATTACTTCTTACCATCATACAACAGTTTCATAAGATTTTTGTTGCAATCTGCTTGTTTTCTATCATTTTCATCTAAGAGAATTATAATAACCTCTGCTGTCAAGTTTAATATCTTATCTACACCCACATAAAGCAGGCATTGCAGAAAACATCTTCCTGCAGGATATTTCCACATGTTTGAGCTCAACAGTGTTTTTTTTCTCAGACATTGGCACAGACATTAGCCTTGATTTGTGATTGTGTGGAACTGTGTTTTATAACAGTGAGCTCTTAAAAGAATTTCAGTTTCACCCTGACATTTGAAGGCTAGAGTATTTTTTCTTGAGATCTCCTAAACACATTTTTTATCATTTCTTCAAGGGGTGGAGGCTGAAAGGTGTCCTGCATTGGATATGTAGAGTGAGGATGAAGTCAACTAGTTCTTTGTATTTATTGGGTTGAGAAGGGGGAAGCTGGGAATATTTGCTGCTCTCCTAAATATAGAAGGAATTCAGAATTTCAGATAAATTGAAGGAAAGGAGCCTCTGAGAAAGGTCAGAAAGACTGTTTATGTTTAAGAATTCTTTGAAAGCCATTTGCAAAAGACTTTGTGGCAGATTTCCCTGCTGAGCTTGGACTGTAAATTGCTACATCATATGTGAACCTGCTCTTCATGATATGTGGTGGATAACAACAAGCAATCTAGTTTCACAGAAGGGAAACTGAGATATTGCTCTCATAGTCAGATTTAGCTGATCATTCACAAAACTGCCCCTCAGCCCACTTCGGAGTGCAGGTCTTGAAGTTATCAGAGTTTGTTTTCTTTTTCTTTTAACTTGGGAAAAATGTGTTTGACCTAGCTTCATTCTCAGGGTAACTGAAGTATTTTACCCGACACTCCTTTTCTTTCACAATAATTTGTGTGATGCTAACCAAGGTCATGAAAAATATTTACAAATATCCAAGCCAATAAAAAAACCCACAAACCTCTAGATAGGATTTTAGTAAATATCAAGATATTCTAAAATAAAAAAATTCAAACAGTGCCATGAACACAATTCATAACTTTAACCTCATAGAGGTTTCCACATTAAGTATAAGTTGTTGCTTGTGGCATTTTATAGGATTTAGAGCTATTTTTTTCTTAAATAGATTAATACATATGGAAGCTCTTGAAGGAACATCTTAGCATTTATTTAGCTAAAAATGAAAAAAAGTCATAAAATTCATTTGTATGTTTTTCATCTACTACACTTGAATTTCATTAACTTTAAGACAGACTTTCACTTCATCTCTAAATGTCCTCAACTGTACATGATTTTATAAGCATTGTTGCTTCACCTTGTCTGAGATTAAGCATGAATGCTATTTTACATTTTTCTTCCATTATGCTTGATAAAACAGAAATAGTCTCCTGTGGTGAACAAGCTTATTGGAATTTGATCGTCTTTCAGAAGTGGTTTAGTATGTCAGCCTTATAGAAGTTAGGTCAGCCATCATTAGCCTTTTAGTGTTAACAACAGCATCATGAAAATAGATCTTTTGTTTACCTGTATGCTTGAATCTCAGTATAGTACCTCACTGTCCAAAGGTCTGCATTTGTCTTTGTAGTATTCTTATTAGGCTGGAAACTATTTCAGTCATTAAGGATAGAGGACTAAGACACTGGGAATATAAGGATGGATTGCTCTGAGCAAATGTAGAGATCCACAAGACAGAGCTAGTTTATCCTTGTTTTTATTCAAGGAAGAAAAATAGATGCTTCTAGAGAGTGATTCATTTGACTTGTTTAGATGTCTGCTTTAGGATGGAATAAATACCCAGAAAGTGTTCCCACCCATTCTTCTCTACTTAAGAGAAATGGAGCTCTGCATTACAGATGTCTGCATTTGGCCAGATCAGTGCTCCTAGTAATAGTATTTGTGGGTTAGAGAGGTGAGGATGACTCAAAATAACATGTTATAAAGGTCTTTAATATAATATGTGTTAAAGCTAGCTGAGATGAATCCTACCTGAGAAGGTGTTTTGCCAATTATCAGGCCTAGCATAAAGGACACAGCCAGCATAACGATGAACCAATAACCAGTTTGTATTTGATACAAAAGGGTCAGTACATGGGTGAGCACTGGGGGTACAAACAAGTCAGTCAGGTTATACATAATCAACATCAATCCACTGACCCCAACAATGACACTACACAACCAACAATGGGTGGAATAAATGGTGACATGCAGTCTCCCATAGCAGGGACAGGAGACAACCAAGTCAACCAGCCAAACACATAAGACCAAGGAAGCCACATACTGAATCTCTACACAGCCCACACTTACAAAAACCAGACCTGACTGGAGCCCAGTCCCCGAGAGGCAGGAGGTCCTTCCCCAACAGGGAACTCTGCACAGGGCATCCACCTCACACACAGACACTGCCCCTGCCTGCAAGTGGTCCCGGCTTTTATCCCCAAGTGGGACACCTGACCTTTGGTTACTCAGTGCAGACACCTGGGGCTCATTTACCTCATGGCTCTCCCTGCAAGGCTGCTGCACCCTGGAGGGAAGCTTAAAGGTAAACTCACCCCCCCTTTGTGAAGGGCTGTGGGAATCACCCATATGTCAGCCTTAATTTGGGGCTTGGGGTTTAAACCCCAGCATTTCAGAAGGTAGGATCCTGCCTGTCCTTTGAAAATTTCTTTTCTACTTGTACAGAATTCATTCTGGTCTGATGTTGATGATCTTCAAATATTTTTCTCTAATAGGAGGATAACCATATCAAGCAGTTAAGGTGTTCTATGCAGCTCCTCAGAAACTGCCTCTTTCAAAATGAAGAGTGCAAAGTAAGTATTTTTACACTGAAATAATGTGAGCACATTCAGTTAGTGATTTCTCTTTTTTTCTACTTCGAAGTTATTTTCAAGCTGGCTAAATTTAAGCTTCATATTAATGGCAAGAAATACTTTAAATTTCATTATTATTCCCACCACCTAAGAATATTTCATACATGCGTTAGGAACATAATGTTCACATTGAAACATCATCTCCCAAAGCTTTCAGATGGCTATCATCCTTTATGCCCACTTCTGCTTTGCTTCAATCAATTTTCGAAGCATATAATGTGAAAAATGGATGTGGAGAAAACTTAGGACCACAAGAAAGGCTCATAGGAGATACACTTCACATCTTGGAAAGTAGTTTCCTCTCCTTATTCTTCTCTCCTTTTTTCCTTTCCCTTTCTGAAGGACAAAAAAAAAAACAAAACCCAACCCAAAACCAAAAAAGAAATTATAAATAATATTTTGCCATTTACTTTTCTTTGTCTTAGTTTAATGACACTAATCCTGCAAGGCAAAATTTTGTTTTACCTTGATTTTTTTGTCATAATTTTTCTTACTTAGAATCTTGTTTTGAATTTCTCTTCACATTTTTCGTCTTTTTCTCTGTGTTTCTCAAGCTCTTTTCTACTTCAGTTCTTCTGCCTACCTGTTTTTCACATGTGGAAAATACTGTGTTCCTGTTTTTCATTCTTCGCTGTATTCTTTCTTTCTGATCACTACTCTTCCTCTTTCTTATTGCTGACACCTTTCACACATTTATTTCCACTTTCTGTTTCACAGTTTAATTTGTCTTGGCATTATGATACTTCTAGCAAATGCACTGGTGGAACCACAAGGTTTCCAGACCTTCCAGAAGTACCCCTGTTGAGAGCATGTGTTAGCATCCTTTTTGTATACAGAACACCATAATGTAAATTGTGGACCTGAATACGCCATCTGGTTATCCCTAAGGTCCCCGTAACTTTGTTGTGCCATAATTTCAGATAAGATAATTGTGGAATATTTTTCTGGTTTTGATCAGGGGTCTGCAGAGACAATTGCTTGGAGGAGAGGAGAAGATTGCTGTTGATAACTCAAGTTTTCTATGATTTGCTCTGTAGAACTATACTCTTCTATTTTTATACTTTTTTTTCCAATAATTAGTTTAGTTGGAATAGAATAAAACTTCAGAATAGAGAGCTCTTGAACAATCACAGTCAGAATGAATAAATCTTTTGTTTGCATGTCTTTCGGTAACTAAAATGTGCTGGTTTTGACTCGGGTAGAGTTAATTTCATTAGTGTTGAATCGAGGGTGTCAGTTCTATCTGTACAATCTTTTGAAGGAAACTAATGGGGCACAATAAGATAAAAATATGCTTTTCTCACTCTATATTTTATTTTCAAACTATTCAATAGTATAGTAGTTTTAATTCTTCCTCAAAATATGCTTTTCTCACTCTATATTTTATTTTCAAACTATTCAATAGTATAGTAGTTTTAATTCTTCCTCATTTATTTATAGATGGCAGCTCTCAAAGCTCATCTTGTTCCTGTTCTGCATTCACTGTGGCCATGGTTGTTAATAGATGACTCCTCAATGCAAATAGCTCTGCATTTGCTTTGTGTCTACACTGCAAATTATCCTGCAGGTATGAGAGTCACTCTATGATGTTAATACATCAAAATAATTAACCAGAATAATTAAGACAGAAAAGCATTTAATAGAGGGAAAAGAATCTTTATTACTACCATAAGAGCAGAATATAAAAGCTTTAGTCCATCAAAGTCTGTCAAGAGTTTTGATTTTAATACATTCAAGACTTTTGTTCAGATCTTGTTTCAGTCTGTTGGATTTAGCAAGAGTACAATTGTATTAAAGCATTAAATAGCATTTGATTCAAACCATTATGTTTGAAGGTTACACTGAAAGTCCTTACAAACCGAATAGTATACTGTAGAAATACTACTCCAGGAGTTCTCTCACAGAGAACGGTATACCAGTACTTTATAGTTTCCATTTCAGCCCTTATTGAGAACATGCTGCTTTTGAAATATTCAATAATCTAATTTAATTCTGTATTAAATTTCTTCCATTTATTTCTGCATTGTGCTCAGTAGCTTGTATTTATATACTTTTCATAAAGATTCTCTTCTTCATTTGAAGAAACTTTTTATTTCCATTGATAATTATCCCCACTACTAGAAGCACATTTTTTTTGTTTTTGTTTTTGGTGATTTTTTTTTGTTTGTTTTTGGGGTTTTTTTGTTTGTTTGTTTGTTTGTTTGTTTTTTCTGGTATGAATTTGCCTCATTCCATATCCTGGCTATTGACTCAGATAATTATATGCTGGTGGCTTGAAGAGACATGTAATTATCTGTTGATTTCTCCCTGTCAAGGTACTGTAAAAGAGTTAGCATGGTTAAAATATATTCTGAAGTCTCCTAGCTTTTTTACCTCTTTTTAAGTTCATGTATCCAGACCTTAAATGAATTTACAATGCTTTTCTTTCTATAAAGACATTTTTTTAGCATGGACTGAAGAAAGGACAAATATGTGTTAGTCAGCCACAGGATATATAGAATTAAAATGTAATGTTCTATGACGTACTGGAAATCAAGCTGAAGTTCTGATGGTCTGTCTTTTTTCTTAACTCTGAGTGACTCTAGGCTGCATGTTTATTTTCTTTGCTAATAAGATTTTAGATTAATCTTGTTTTTTCTTTCTGTTCAGAATAGTTGGCTTATGAGGTGACCCAAACTTACCTACTCTGAACTGGTTAACCACTTCCCCTTAGTGTAGTCAGGCAAAGAAATGCATGTAGATGTTTGTAACAGTTAAAAACTGTCTCATTTTTAATTACTTTTGCCATGTAAGAAGTTAACTGTTACAAATGGCAAATGCCACTAAATAAAAGGGTACATATGCATATCTGTGCGCAAACATCATGTTGGTAACTTAGTTGTTACCTGATGCTGTATTAATTTGAGCTTGTAGCATAGGATTTTGCATGCTACTGTGGTACAAGGTAATGACAGATGCAGACAGTGCTTTTATTTCTCAGAAAAATATTTTAAGAAACTTATTAAACCTTTCAGATGTAGAGACTTCCTTTTCTGAACCAGTTTCAGAGTGCCCTCAGATTCTAATGCCAAATAATTGTATAATACCTTAGATACGGTGTTCCAGTTTTTAAGGAGACAAATCAATGACTTCTCTTTGACAGCAGAATCGCCTCTTAGATTCTAGAAGAGTAGATCAGTAGATGCCTATTCCAGTAAACTGCCACATTCAGGCATGTTTCTATTTGAAATATGTCCCATTGACTTCGCTGTAGTTCAAAGAAAAAAAAAACAAACAACAATCCTTTCAAAAGTCCTGTCTCAGACTTTGAGCTGTTAGACTGCTCTTTCTAGAGATTTTTTTTTTTTTAACATGTATGTGCATTTCTCATATGATAAACATGTAATTTCTTTAAGGTTGTGCTTCACTCTGTTGGACCAGTGGACAACCATCACTTCCAACTGCACGAAGTGCAGCTGGCAGTTCATTAATGCATAACATATTGAAATTGGCTTCCCAAGTGTCAAACGATAACAGCCCAGTTCAGCAGGTGGTCTTTTGTCTTCTTTCAAACCTTGCTCTGTCTCATGACTGTAAAGGCATTATTCAGAAGGTAAGTAAATAATATTCTTGATTTTAGCAATGTGATGGATGTACTTTCTTTTTTAATTAAACCCTTAAACATGGAATGTCCTGTGATCATATAGAGATGCTTCTGTGGGAATCAAAACGGTTGCGTTTTCTCAGTTAGTTGTGTTACTGTTCCCTGAGTGTAGCGTGTAATTCAGTCATCTTCATAGTCTGGACTGGACAGAAGCAGCATATGGAACTATACAATTTTTGCTAGAACTTTTTATAAACTTACAGTTTCATTGGGGTGTAAAGTTTTCAATATCTATACATATTGACAGCAATCACTAGCAGAACAAACTGCATGTGAGTAAACAAGGCATTGAACACTGGATAAATCATTAGGTATACTCTGTGAAACATAATCTTCATAAAAATTACAGTTTTAGCGAAGATGTTCTACATGTCAGTAATTGGCTGTTGGGTAGAAATCTGTTCTTATTATATAAAAGTTAAATACTGTGTTTTCCCTTTTTAATTTGTATATTGAATGATCCTTAGTCTATGTTATCAATTGTTCTTTGAAAAATCTGTTTCTTTTAAATTTAACTTTGATCATTTAAATAAATTGAACACAAGAAGTCAAACCATGTAGAAAATCAAGTATAGTGGTGACATGATAAAACTAGCTAACACAACAGAAAGTGTAAAAAGTGTTTGTTTTTAGCATCCTTTATAGTAGTTTAATAGTTACAACAGTGTCTTTCAATCTGCACTAACAATGTTCTGTGCTTGGACCTAATTAACTATTAGAAAAGGCAGGGGGAAATATGATCTTTTTGTGGTACTAAATATGTAAAACCTGGTCATACAGTTACCAAACTGCTGATACTCAAACTTTTTTTATAGAAACATATTGTTTGAGTTCTTTTCTATGGTAGCTGTTCCATTCTGTGAATTGTTTTGACTTTTGCTGTCTTCATGGTTTCACTCTAGCCTAATAGTACTTAGTCTTCATTCTCTGTCCTGAGCTCTGTTTTCATAATGCTGAATTACTAATTCCATCCCTGAAAATTAACGTTATCAATATTATATTCCTGTGACGAAAACCACAATGAGTTTGTATGCTGGATTATTTGCTTTTGACGAGGTGCCTGTATGTGTTGTCAAGGATCAGTGAGGATGGGAATATTTTGCCAAGGAGTTTTTTCATCATAGGAATGTTGTTAGAACATCTCCCTTTTGCAAAAGGGGAATAGATTTTTCCCCTGCTCAGAATCTCCTTCAAGTGGAGTCAAACCCTGAGATTAGGAAGCAGTATTGTGTGTCATATCAACACACAGGTTGTTTTCTTCAAAGCTCGCAAAAACAGAGGAGACTACTCTGGCTGTCAGTGAAGCATGGGGTGGTACTATGTAGATCCTTGAGTCCCTTCCAACTCGAGATCTTTTGTGATTCTATGTTAACTTTTAACATTTGCTAATAATGCAAGTGATAATAAATAAGGAATCAAGAATACATTAAGTAGTGCATTGATTCAGTTAAGTTGTTTCTGGCTTATTTTGGGGCAGAAATGATAAGTGCAAAGCAAAAAGCTTATGTCATGGTGGGAATTAGCCTTTAAAGAAATACATTGTGTTGGGTCAACTTTTTTGTGTCTACACTGCATAAATTATTACAGAAGAAAATGTATTTTAACATATTAACTTTTTAACCAAAGTGTAGATTCTTTTTCATATGTAATTCTTGCAAAAATCCTTGATTAATAATGGGCTTCCTGAAATATGTAAATTAAATGTTAGTACTAGTTTTTTGATTCAAGTGTGCAGATTGGAAGGTCACACAGCAATGAACAAACCACGGAATACTATAAATTCTAACATCCTTTTTCTTCCTTCTGACAGAGTAACTTCCTGCAGAACTTTTTGTGTCTTTCATTACCAAAAGGAAGTCATAAAAATCCTGGTAATGTGTCCACTCTTTGGCTAAAGCTGCTACTGAACATATCTTTTGGAGAAGATGGACAGCAGATGATCATGAAGATAAATGGGTTTTTAGACCAGATTGTGGAAATGTGTAAATACAAACACAAGAGCAGCCAACATCTAGCACTTCTTATTCTACATAACATATGTTTTAGTACAACTAATAAACCAAAGATATTAGCTAATGGTAAGTGTCTAAAGGGTATACAAGCTATTATACTCTGAGAATATTGTCTTCCATAATACCATATTTTCACTGCAATTTCAGTTACTGACCAAGAACTCAAGATTGTTATTTAGAAAATAATTTTTGCAAAAACTATTTTTGTAGAAGTAATTATAAAACATATATTTTGGCAGAAAAGCAAATATAATATATAGCGAAAGGAAATAAGTAGTTTTAAAAAATCAAGATTTATTGTGAGACTGATCATTTGAAGGATTTTTGCAGTTTTCTCAAAGAGCTATTTTTTTGGGAGATTTGAAGGATTCTTTGTGTCAGTTTGAAATAACTGAAGTTCTTATCTTTCAGTTGGACAAAACTTTATTAGCTCCTGCAAATCATGGATATTGAGACAAACTATTTCATGCTCTGTCATGTGCAGGAAACACTTATGATAATAATAGTTATGATTATGGCATATATATTTAATATAACAACATGCACAGAACTTTTTTTCAGTTGTTTGTAAAAGGCATGTTTCTTTCCCCCTTTTAATTGTAGAGAGAATGCTTCTGTCTGTTACAAGTTCTCAGCAGGTCTTCCATAGTGTCCATGCTTTTCATATTTTCCAAAGATGCTGATTTGCTGCCTTAAGCATACATTATTCAGTTATGTAATCTGTGAATTTTTATTATGAAGGGAACAAACAATCTTGAAAAGTCTGGCTTCAGAGCAAGGGTAGGAAATTAAGGCACCTACAGTTGGGTGGCAAACATTTCTCATTGGTTACAAATCACCTACATAGCAAATACTAAGGAAAATAGAAACATCTTAATTTTCATCCTGATGTGGCTCTAATTGTGGCTACTGGGAGTTATAAAACAGTTTCATGGTTTACTCAGTCCCTGTGTATAGCTGGTGGCTGTACATAACATGCATGTTTTATTACTGATGGCTTAATTTTTTAGTCTTGCTTGGTTTTGTTTTTCTATATTCTTTTTAACAGTTCTTTCAGTGTAGTCTGCCAATTTTGTGAACATATTTCAATTTACTTAATCTGATAATAAAGTTTCGGTAATTCATCTGCCATACCAATGCTTCTCGTAGAAATAAGTGTACTCCAAGCGTCAGAATACTGAGGTGTGTAAATATGTTTGTGTGCTTTTGATGATATTTTCTAGATGTGGGGGTTTTTTTTGTTTGTTTTTTTTCTCATTAGATAAAGCGATTGCAGTACTGTCTGCCTGTTTGGAAAGTGACAGTCATGCTGTTCAGAGAATAGGAGCAGCTTCACTTTGGGCTTTGCTTCACAACTATCAGAAGGTTAGTATTTGAGTAATACTTGATAAAATTACAGTGTTACTTTTATTATGCTGTAAACAATACAGTAACCTTTAAATAAATAAAAAAAAGTTTACAGTAGCATTTGCATTTTATTATTTTAATCGCATAGCTGCTCAGGCTAGGAGCATCTTGCCCTCTGTGATTTGTGACTGCTTATATAAATGCAGTCTGTATGATGATACAGTCATATGCTAATTCTAAAATTCCTGCATCTCATGTTCTTCTGAATAATTGTCATTTTCTAAACTTTTCTGTTAAAGTGTGAATGTGTGGGGAAGAAAGTCAAGTAACTGTATTTTGTATGTTTGTGCTACAGGCAAAAGTGACTTTGAAGAATCCATCAATTAGAAGAAGAATAGATGAGGCTTATTCTTTAGTGAAGAAAAGTAAGTCTTCTAACTAATGCCAAATTTGTATTTTTTGTTTGAATAGCTTTGATACAATAGGTTGCTGTCTTCAGCTCAAGAGGATTGATTTTGAAAGATGTTCAAACACTGGTCTGTAGCTGGAGCTTCAGTAGCAAATAGTGGGTTTATTGGTGGTTAGTCATATCAAGGCTCTGATCTGCAAAAACATGCAAATGTCTTATTCTAAACCGGTGGGATTTCCTACTGATTTTAAACTGCTTTATAGATATACTCAAATATGATTATCAATTGGGGGGCTTATAGTGCCAAGTTGCCACGGTATTTTGCATAACAGAATTGCCACAAAATTTCTGCTTACTTTGAACATTGTTTGTCAGTATCCTAACAAGGAGATGTATTTTTGCTAGAACATCTCATGATAATTCTTCCTGTACTGTCACCCAAAGCCATTGATTTTGTCAGTATACTGTTGTTTCAAACTCATCCTTTACTTAGTCAGTCATTAAACAAACCATAATGCAGCATTTCATATACTGAGAGTGGTTAATAGATAATAAGTTTGTATTGTTCTTTATAGCATTACTACAACTGACCAGAGACTTCTCAAAATATTATGTTGAATCAGCAAGGTAGAAATATGCAGCTTTTACAGACTAGCACTTCATAACATTAATCCCCATGTATTTATGTGCTGTGTTAGAACATAAAGTCCTAGACTGAAATACTGATTTTTACTTCGGTAAACATTTAAATATAAAAATATTGAGTATAAAAGATTTTATACAACTGTAATTGTTACAGTTTAGAGTCATGTGAAGTTGTCATCTGTGTTTTCCTGCATTAAGGTGCTCAACTAGCCTACCCTAGTACAGCTTTGATCACTTTACAGTGATAATTGGGCTAAAATGGTAGAGTTCTGTCTGCAAGTGGGGGAAATTTTCAACATGACAGTTGTTATTTTACATTTCTTACTTTGTTCTACCCTAGGAGAAGTTTGGGAAGAACAAGACATGACCTCATTGTAGCACAGCATAATTAAAAGGCAGTTTTCACTTTTTTTTGATCATAACTAAGTGTGAGCTGGGAAAGCTGCAAGATTTAGCCTTTGGAAAAAAAAAAGGAAAATAAAAACAGTCTTTGCAACATAAAGTATTAGTACTTGTTTTGCTACTCGTGATATAGAGGTTAAGATCATTAAATAGCATGAATTCTAACAAGTATTTGATGCAATATTTGAAAAAGTAATTTTGCATTAAGAATCAACTAGAAATAAAAATCTTGTTTTTTCTTCCTTTTAGCTGCTCCACAGCCAGAAGAAAATGAACTGCATGCCTACTATTTAAAATGCTTAGAGAACATAGTGCAGCTTCTTGATTGTTAATGTTGAAATTGTTTATTCTTGATTGTTGCCTTGTTGAAATTGAACAGCTTATTCAAGGGGAGCCTGAAATTTAAAGAAAACTTCTCTAATTTACATATCTCTGGCTGCAGCATATATACTATGGAGAAAATTTATGAAGCCTCTGAGGAAGGAGTTCATCATTTTGAACCAAAAAAATTGCACTAAATGTGGTTCAAACTATTTGTACTGTAATCCCAATGGGAAATTATGATACTGCTATGTAAGTATGTACACAGAAGAAGGAATGTACAGAGGAAAAGGATGTGAAAAATCAGTAATTTTCTTAAATTATGCATTGAAATTGTTACTGTAAAGTATTAGAATTACTGTTTTGGATTGGTCTTAATAAAGTTTTTTTAATTGAGATCATCATTTGTTGGTGGTGGATTGTAATTTATGATGTTACAGGTGTGCACATTCAAGAACTGAAAATATTGGCAGTTGTGTTGTGTTATACCTGTTAGGTATAGAACAGCAAGATATGTATTTTAGTTTTGAAGGAGCTCAAACTGCTGCATTTTCTTAAGATGATAACAATTGAGAAAAAGACCTCTCAATTGCTACTATTTACAGGTGACAGTTATGTTAACATGGCAGTTTATTCAGGATATGAGGTATGTGCATCAGTTTTAGTTATGTTACAACATCTGGAAAAGTATTTGAGACATAATCTGTTGGTTTCCAATTTATAAACACTTCAAATGTTTTCCTCGAGGAAAAAAACAGATTGTTAACCAGACCTGTTGGTTTGGTGTTTTTTTTTTTGAACTGGTACTATGTAACTATTGTCACAAGTTTTTCAGTATTCTTTACTAAATGAGTTGAGAGAAATTAATGTGTGAGCACATTTTGCCGAATGTGCTTTTAAAACCTAAAGTTTTCTTTTATGACAGGGACAGATAGTGAGCAAATAGAAAATAAAACTTGCGTATGTCTACTTGTAGTTAGTCTTTTTTTCCTAACAGGTAATGAAAGTATTTTCCACTAATAGAGGATTTTTTGTTTGTTTTGCGATGCTTATAAATAATTTGTGACATTATATTGTTCAGTTGGCATAAGCATGATGCTTATAATGGCTGAATTAAATCATTAGTAGAAATGTAATTATCAGCTAACATCCCGCTCCTCTGATAGACCACCAGAGTCTGATTTTTTTCCACTTGACACGTTGCATAAATATTGTAACTTGCAAAGTGGTTGTTAAATGCTGTCATGTATTTCAGAGCTGCCAGCTGCAGGGCAGGAGAACACCCGACTGCAGACAGCTCTGCACATCAGCAGTTGCTGACTGGGCTTGGTGAGAGGGTCTCTTCCCCTCAGACTAGCGAGTGCAGATTCTCTTCAGAGGTTTACGTCTCAGCATACTCAACCCCAATGATCTCTCTCATAAATCAGATTGTAAGTCAAAATGCAGGTTGTTTGCCAGGTTGCTTTCTTTTTCAGAGACACAAAAAATAAGAACATTCAGTCTCAAATCAATTCCAATGGAAATAACCACTCAGCAAGGATGGCGAGAACTTGTTCAAAGTGTAGAAATACGTAAGGATATAGTGAGGTGAAATAGGGCTGCATAGTTGAATGGCTTCTTTAATTGCAAGTACAATTTAATAAGAACATAGAACTGGATGCTTGTTTTCTATTAAATATTTCTATTTTACTGACCTGTACGAATTCCTGAAGAAATTATTCAGATTGAAAAATCCAGATAAATTGCTAATATATTTTTTGTTACAGTAAACCTTAGTGCAAGTGCTGTGTTTATCCCAAAATGGGCATAGATCTAACTGCTATTTTCTCAGTATTTCACAACATTTTACATTTGCAGGAAGCAACTGTAGTGATAAGTAAACATAAGTTGGTGTTGCTCATCAGGAAAATCAAAACAATTTTTAGCCTCTGAATGTTTTGTGTGCAAAGTCTTCACAGAATGCTGAAAACTTTTCTCCATCAAGATTAAGGAAAGAGGAATTAATTTATTTAAGGGACAGCACTTTCTTTATCACCTTTTACCTCAAAAATCAGGGACATAGAGGGATTGCATCCTGTCTTGCTGCATATTAATAGAGGTGGATTATAAAACATAAACGAACCTATGTTCACTGGCATTTAGACTAGCACAATTAGCCTCACAATAACCTTTAGTCTTAATAGCTTTCATGCTTCCTTCCCTTGCAAATCCAGTGCAAGAAATTACCAAAATAAATAGTTGTGACAGTTATTTATCACAAGCAAAAATATTTTATTAATGCTAAATTATACATATTAACAATGATGCCGTGTTCTAAGTTATTTACCTATTACTTTACATATCTCTGCATGCAGTGCTTTAAACATGCAAACAAGATTTATTTGTTGGTATGGGAACATTTGTTTAATAAACATCTTGTACAAGCAAAACATTTCCAAATGTGGAATCTGATGTAGGCGATTAGAAATAGTCTCTGTTATCTCCTGCATGGTATTTTGTTTACTTGGATTTTGTGAGACTACAGGATATGGTGGAAAAAACCCCAAACCAAACCACTTTCAGAATTGAAATAAGGAATATCCTCAAAACTTAATAGCTATTTCACAGTAAAGTTATGCTAGGAGAGTCAGCCCAAGTCTTGTATGGCTGAGATCACATGCCATGATGACATAGGGTTGAACCTAACTTCAGAGTGATAGGACAGACTGCATTCACCCACATCTCTTAAAAGAACACACTGGTCAAAGACTACTGATTCAATTTTTTTAGAGCAGGAAAGCTCTGGCTGAAAGGAGTTTCTAACTTTATTGATAAGAAGGAGAAACAGCAACCAAGTTCCAATTTGTTTGTTGCTTCTCTCTGAAAATGAGTGCAAAGCTGATTTAGGTGTGCCTTAAATATACTTGGTCCTTTGCTGACAATGCTAGGTAGAAGCTGATTGGTTTTCTCTGATGTGTGAAGCATTTTAATGCAATACAGGTTTAGCTGGACAGATTTTTTGGAAAAGAAGAAAGAGGGTCAAGAAAATATGTTGTGCATCCCTTTACAATTAATGCTGTCTAAGTAGTGTCTACTTTCAAAAGAATCATTCTATAAGGGGATTTCTGACTGTTAGTATCAAAGCTGATACTCTGAAAAGCCTGAGATTAACAACACAAAATCATGCATATTATTATGACTGCTTTCTGTAAAATAATTTCTAGATAACTTACTGTTTAAAAATAGAAGTTTAGTATTGTCTTTGACATGAAGTTTGCCAAGCAGAGCAGAAAAATATATAAGGACCAGAAAAATAATTTCTAAATGTGAAAAAAACTGATAGGAAACTTGGTGGATAAATATTTTTTATGTGTGTATGAAATAAATTTCTCATTAGCCAGGCAGGATTAAGTTGCAGCATGTTCTTATGGCCAATAAATAAAGAGCAATACTTATCCCTACGTACTTTCTGAAAGAGCTTTTGCTTCTTACTGGCAGGTAAAACTTAGGGTTTATTTTCCTTCTTTTTCCATAGGAAAAGTGCTTCTAAAAACAACATGAAGTGTAGAGTAGCATGACACAAGAAACACTGCTACCAAGTTGAGTGTTTGAAGCATTTGAAGCCATCAGAATACAAGCTGTCAATTCCCAGTGCTTCATGTAGGTTATACAAGATTTTTGTTCGCTAGAATAAATAATATGCATGACTTGTAATTTTTCACTGGTGTTGCCTAGCTTTCTTTAAAAAAAACAGTTTAGAAATGCTTCCTAACTGAGAGTATTTTCAGAAGACTGATCCATAGTTGAAATACATATGAGATCATCAGCAGAAAGGCTTGCCTTTTAAAACCAAATATTTTCTGTTCTCCTTCAAAAACCCTCAGTAGCAATCAGAGCTTCACAGAGACAGAGCAGAACAGGAGAGAAAGGGAAGGTTCCTTGCTGCCTGTGGCCCAGTATCTTAAACGTACTGGGAGTTAAAGGAGCACCTGTGTCCTTGCTTTAGATCCAGGAGCAATAAATATGTGTTATTAAAAACTAGCTAGCCCATTTAGATGAGGTGTGATAACTGAGTTTAACAAGAAGAAAATGTTTCCTCTAATTTCCTGAGTTAGGTCTCCATCACAGGCTGCTACTGACTTAAGAGATCAGTTTGTGTGGCTTAGTGCCAATCATTAAACCAAAAAATATAGTTGTCAACATCTAGGACAGCTGAGAAAAATACACTCAACTGAGGCAACGGTAACCAACATGTTAGCATCAGAATAGCAGTATTCATCACATAAATCCAAATTGAGGAGTATTGTAGAAAAGCACAAAATGCTTTTGCTTCAAAAGGGGATTTCACCAAATCAGGAAAGAGAAAATTCTCTTTCCTCTTGGTTTTCATTCTAGGATTCTCTGTAATTGAGGATTTGTAGGGAGCTGTTTTCCCATTGCTGTGGCAGCTAGTGTGTGACTCACTCCTAAGCCATTTTTTTTTTCCCCATTGGGATATTTTTCTAGAAAGGTGTCTTCCAGAGTTGAATAACAGCACCTGAATAAAAACTTTGAGTTGCTTCCAATTAAAGCTATTTTATCTGAATTTCAGAGCCTTCCTGAACCTGGAATTTGGTGAATCCTGAGACTAGGCGAAGGCTTTAGTGTCTATGATTTTGTGCAGTTTGAAGGTTTTTCATAAATGGCAAATAACCCTGAAGTTTCAAGGGCTAACACAAGCTTCTGCTGCTGGTAGAAGCAGTTTCACTGCAAGTCACAATTTTTCTGAAACTCTTCATGTGTTTTTTTAATCCATTTGTGTAAATCAAGACATCAGCTGCTCATTAATCCTCAGAAAACTGTTCCTTAGACCTTTTGGTGTGGTTGCTTCACGTCTGCAAGGTATACAGTTTCTGGTATTACAAATATGTTTTAAAAATGAATATTAATTTCACCTGCATGCTGGTTTCTGACCTAATAAGAATGCTACAATTGAGTGAAAAATCTTATGTTGTTCAAAATTACTCTGCAATAATTAAAGGTTTTGAAAGCATCCCTACAAAAATGTGTTAATACATGAGAAGGAATGGAGTCACTCAGCAGGAGGTTGTCAGAAACTGCAGCACCTAGCAGGGAGGGCTCTGAGGTTTTGGGCACTGCGAAGCCTGCAACTGCCTCTGTGGTTTGGGGCTCACCCTCCCTCCCCATCTGCACCCTGTGCTGGGGAGGAAGGGCACAGTCAGCAACTGAACGGTGGCCAAAATAACAAGAATTACTTGAAAGCGTGTGGTGATGTTTAGTGTAAAACTAATGAGAGTTTCCGAAAATCTTTTCCTTACGATTTTTTGCATTTAACATTTATAGGAAAAAAAAACTATCTCTGCTCTCTCTACATATTTCTTGACAGTAATTTGCCATTGCATTGTTACTATTTATTGCATTTATCATACATCAACAGGTCAAAACCCTCGTGATTTGA